CTCTTCCTCATGACCAGGACGTCACCACACTCGTCCTCGATGGGCAGGAAGATCTCCGGGACCACAATGAGGATCCTGCGCTTGGGGGGAGGCGCGATGTGCCACACGCACTCGGCATTGGCTGGGTAGTCACCAGGGTAGTTGGGGGACTCGATGTAACCCGTGTAGTCCCCAAGCTCGCCACCGCAGTGCTGGTCTGTGGATGCCAGGGCCCCGTCAGGCTGGGCCAGGTGGGTACCCTGGCTGGCTGGGCCCTCCACAGCCCCAGAGGTCCAGGGCAGGGATGGCCGGTGTCCTTGGCCCTCCCGAACCAGCGGCGAGGCCCTGCACGGGCTGCCCCTCAGGGGAGGGCAGGTGCCCATCCATGCCTGTGTGTTCTCTGAGGCCCGGGGCCAAGAGGCTCCCTCTCCCTGGGCTGCCTTGCCTGACACAGGCCCACCCGTTTCTCTACAGCTTGTCAGGGTCCTGGAGGTCCCTCCTCAGCAGCCTCGCACGCCCAGCACCTGCTCCTCCCCGCCTGCATGGCATCTTGGCCAGGCCTCGGGTGTAAGCGCCCAGGAAAGCCCACCTCCACTGCTCCCATTCCTCATCTGCCCGTTTAGTGGACCCCGCTGAACCCCGCCAGGCACCAGGCATGCTCCCTTCCCCACAGAGGCAGGGCAGCACCTACTCTTGCAGTGCGTGACGTTGGTGGAGCCGTCGAAGTCGGTGCTGGTGTTGCCTGGGCAGGTGATGCAGTGGTTCTGGCCAAACTCGGGCTGGTAGGTGCCGACGGGGCAGCGGATGCAGCGGTGGGTGGTGGTGTTGTAGTGGTGGCCGGGGGAGCAGTGCACTGTGGCGGGGGAACAGCCGGGGGAGTGCTGCTAGGAGAGCTCCTCCCGCAGCCTCCCCTGCCCTCACTGTCTGTCTGGATGAAACTGAAGGCCCCTCCACTGCCCCAGTGGCTCCCACCAACCCCGTCCCACTGTTGCGGAGGGAGGGAAGGCAAGGAGCCCCAGCAGCCTCTAAGGTGTGTGTGGGGAAGAGGGCGACATTCTGGAGGTCAGGAACAGCCTCGGGGCCTCTGCCCTGGAGGTCAGCCAAGCGGATGTGAGGCGTGATGGCTCTGAACAGCCTAGCCCTGGGGTGTGCGGGGTGGTGGGGTGTGTGGGCATCCTCACCCTTGGCCTCGCAGTCCTGGAAGGAGACCGTGCCCTCGTGTTTGGTGAGCAGCCCCCCTCCACAGGGGAAGCAGCTGGTGCGCCCAGGCTCGGGCTGGAACGTGCCCACGGGGCAGGCCTGGCAGGGCTTGAAGCCATCAGTGGAGAAGAAGCCTGGAGAGCACTGGCCTAGAAGTGGGTCAGAGGTCACGGCTCAGGCTGCGGGAGGGGCTGCAGGGGTCCCCAAGTGCTGCTCTGGGCCCTTGCCTGGATCTGGAAAAGGTCCTGGGGTGGGGGACATGGTGGCCCAGGCGCTGGGAGCCCTTGGTGCGGTGCTGGCAGCCGCCCGTGTGGCTTCGGGCACATCGGGCTTTAGTCCTCACACCAGCAAGGGGGAGTTAAAGAGCAAGAGGCCTTGCTGTTGGCTGGGGCGTTTATCCAGAGCGGCCCTCCGTACGGGCAGGCCACACTGTCTTCACAGGAGGGATGTCCTGGTAAGCTCCAGGCTGATGCTGCCTTGTCCACAGCAGGACCAGGCAGAGCTGGGAGGAGGGCCTGGGAAGGTCTGCAGGTACCCATCGGCACTGCTGGACCACAGGAGAGCCAGTTTGAGCTCAACATAAAGAAAATTCTAGTATTCTAGCAGAAAGCCAGGATGAAGGTGGTACTCAGCACTGTGGCAGGCAGGGATGTGTCCTCTCGGTTCTCAGTTGCTAAGCGAGCAGCGATCCTCCCATCAGTGGCCACGCTGTCCTCAAGCAGTCACTCACTCCTCCAGGTGGCCACTCCACTGGCCAGCCAGCACACTCAGGAGGGGTTCCCTACCAGAGAGCAGCCTACAGCACGTCAGGGCTGAGCTCCCAACACTTTTGTCCTGGGGAAAGGGCTGGAGGTCTCCATACCCCGAGGATCCCACTCGCCCACCCTTGTAGACCTCCTTCTCGGGGCGAGGGGCCTTTCCCAATGCGTTCTTTTGGGTGAGTCACACATGGTCCAGGAAGGGAGGCAGATGGGGAGACGATGAGCCCATTTCGCAGATGGCTAAGTGGGGGTGTAAATGGAAAAGCTCTTTGCAAACCAAATTGTGCTCAGTCAGTTGGGAAAGGGCTTTCTAAGTCATCTACGGGGCATCTGTGCGGCACTGAGTATAGTGGAGCTCCTGTGCATGCACATGGCCCTCTGGAAAGCACTTGATGAGGACGGACTGGAAACGGAAGACGTTTGGTCGACCCTGAAGTGCTGATGCACCTCCACTGTGACCACGAGTTGACCTGCAGCTGACGACGTGCCTGTGCTTGGCAAGGCTCTTTGCAGACGGCGGCAGAGATGCAGAGCACGCGGAGCCTATGCAGGGCTGGGAGTGGCCGTGTGCTCGGGGACACACGCACACCTGGGCTCGGGGGTGCCCTTTGTTGTTGGGATGGCTGCATGGAAACCACGACAGGCTCTGACTGGCTCAGAGCTTTACAACCTCCCGTTTCCCGTGACCATGCAGGATGGGCCTTTGCTTTGGAAGGCTCAGCAGACAGGAGGCACCCTTGCCCTGCCCTACCCTGCCCTGCACTCCTCCCACCCTGGCCCCGCCTTCCGGGTGGGATCCTACTTGCCTCCACATTCGGACACGTTGCGGGCACCAGCCAGACCAAGCCCGTCGCTGCTGGGGCACGGCGTGCAGCTCAGCTGTCCTTCCACGTCCTGGTAGGTCCCTGGCACGCATGGCACACACTGGCCGAGCTCACCACTGAAGTAGGTGCCAGGCCCACAGGCCGCTGCAGAGGCGAATGGGGAGACGGCTGGAGGAGGCGGTGGCAAGCGGCGGCCGGGGGTTGTTTTCTGTGTGCTCAGGTCCAGGCTGTCCCTGCAGACTGGCTGTGAAGCCTGACCCTCTGGCTGCTCCCTGAGGCTTCTGCTGACCCTCCCCGCCCTCTTGTACAAGCCCTAGGCATTTTGTCCAGAGCAGCTTCCCTTCCCTCCGGGTCCTTCACCGTGGGAGTGGCTGGCAGAGTGCACATGGGCAGAGTGGGCAGGAAGCTACAGGAAGCAAGCAGGCCTTGGCGCTGAGAGCAGGAGGCCGGAGTGCACACTGCAGGGGTGGGTGAAGGGGACAGGGACGTGGGCTATGGGTGGTTAAGCAGGCCAAGGACTAAGTAAGAAAGTGAGTAAGAGAAGGGAGCCAGGCCCCACTCTGGAGACAGTCACGCATGCGGGAATGGAGGCGGCAGGGATGAACCCGGGGGCTTGGATGGGGCAGATGAGTGACACACATGCACACGCACACGCACAACCCAAAGGAAATGGTACACCAATCTGCGCTTCCCAGTCCGGCCTGACCAGAGGGCCTATGAGCCAGGCAGCCCCAGGAGCAAGAGCGCTCCATCCAGACTGGTCCCCACACGTCATCCTCTCTAAGGAGGGCCCTTGGAGCTGTGGCTGGTTCCAGAGCTCAGGCAGGGAAAGTACAAGTTATAAGTTGAATCGGAAACATCTTTTCGTGCTAGAAAGTAAAGGAATGCCCAGAGTGACGGGGCAGGCCGGAGGACACAGAGGCCAGCCGGATGGGGTGCTTGGCAGCTCCTGAAGTAGTGGTGAGGGATGGATCACCACCCGGAGGGAGCAGGAGAGCTGAGCCCATGCCTGCAGGGGCACCTACAGTGTGGGCACATGGCTGCAGAGGTACAGACAGCGCGGAGGGGGAGTTCCTCCTTACGCAGAGTGTGGACTAGTAAACACGGGAGGAGCGAGGGGTAAGGCTCTCTGCCCAGCCACCACGAGAGAGGTGGTTAATTTGGCAGGAGTTGTCAAGGAACGCCCTGGCTGACATTTGACAAGGACAGGATATCGTATAAACTTGGCGTGTCCTGAGAACACACTATTCAACTGCGCAGGGAAACCGGCAGTGAGGGTGGAGGAACTGGAGGGCCAGGCTGATACATCATGCTTGCAGGAGGGGGGCGCTAAAGAGCATGCACCGCTTCTGTGGGTTCCCTGAGTCTGGTGGCGTAGAAACATCAGATGGAGCTGCTAGGGTCACCCTACAGGGCTCAGGCCTTGCCAAGCACGGGAGCAGCAGGGCAAGGTGAGCAACTGCCGTGGATTGAGTAATCTGGAGAGACGCGACAGCAAAGTGTAACACCAACTCCTGGCTAGGAGCTGGGGCCAGGAAGGGAGACGGACACTGTTGGAAGAATGACTGGAGTCAAATAGGGTGGTAATGCAATGACCGCACAAACACGCATGCATGCACACGTATGCACAGGCACATACACATGAGAGAGCATGATGAAGCAAAGTCTGTAAAGTATCCCTGACTAGGGAATGTGGATGAGGAAAACACGGAAGGCTTTTTGTTCTGCCTGATGCTTTGAAAGTTTGAAATGATCTCAAGGTGAGCTGTCAGGAGTAAAGGCCTAGCCCGGCAAGCCCCTCCCCTCCGCCCGCCCCAGTGCAGCTCTACCCACTGCCCCGCCCAGCCAGAGTCGGATTCACCGGACCTTCCCTGCCACTTTCACAGTCTCCCAAAAGCACCGTCTCTACCCCTCTTTGAGCAGGGCTCCCCATCTGTGGCTCCAACTGCACATTCAGCCTCCGCGTGGATGGTGCACCAGGTTCCCGGTGGCATGCGCAGCCTGACCTCTCAGGCCGCACCCGGCGTGGGGTGGGGTCGGGTCCCTGAAGCCTCCTCCTAGCCTCCCTCTCCGGAAGGCTCTGGCTCTAATTCCCTCCACCTCTCCCACAGCCAGCTGGTCCAGGTCCTGCCATCTCGCACTTGGGCTCCCTCTAAGGCCACCACCATCCACTCAGCCTTCTTGTACAGAGCCCGTGAGGCTGCGCCCTAGCTTAGAGCATCCCAGTGGACCCCCTGCAAGTCTGAGGGGTACCCAGGACCACAAGGCCTGTTGCCTGGGGCCTGTCTTCCTCACTGAACATAAACTCCATGAGAACTAAGACTTTGGTGCACCGCACCTGGGTCCTGGGTGCTGGAACCCATTCCCTCTCAGTAGGCCATTTTCCGGGGTGTGATCAAGTTGCCAGCCTTGACCCCAGGGCCTGCCAGGCCTAGCTCACCAGCTTCTCACCAGCCTCTCTCTGCTTGGACTCACAGCAGCATGGGCAGCCCCCACCCTGATGCAGCCTCCCCAACTCCTGTCAGCCCTGAGGAGGGCCTGTCTGGGCCCCGTTGTCCTCATGTCCCTCCACTGTGGCCGTGCTGTCCTGCCCTCTTGTCCCTTTGGCTGAGGACAGTGGTGAGGACCCCGTGCCCAGGCCCAGCAGCAGGGCAGAGCTCAGATGACAGGTCTATGGCTGCTCTCCTTGTCTGGCCTCCATGTCTCTCTGACTCCTCCACAGGCGTCTGCCCTGTCTTCCCTGAGTGCCCCTGTTGGTCACCTGGGCTGCATGTGACGGAAGGACAGGGGCTGCTGCATCCACACCTGTGTGGCTGTGGGAATGGACTCACCGCATTTGTTGTCCTGTAGCACCTGGCCTGTGCCGCACGTCCCCTGCCCCTCTGGGGACTTGGCCGGCCGCTGGGCCACCTCGTACTCTGTGCCTGCGACCTGGACATAGAACTGCTGCCGGCCCACGGCCTTCCGCAGGGTCCTGACGGCAGCCTGCAGGCTCTGCTCGGCCCGCTTCCGCACACAGTCTGCGTCACAGGTGTCTGCAGGTGGGAGACACCGAGCCAGGGTAAGGCGTGGCCTGCGGGCAGCTGCTGCTCTGCTGAGGGACCACCAGTCAGGCCCTGGGCAGGGTTGGGCCTCTGCCTGACCTCAGCCAGCAGCCCCGGGCGAGGGCCACTGCTGAGCCCGAGTGACAGGTGAGGAGACCGAGGCTTCAAGGCTCTTATGGGACCTGCCTGAGGCCCCGGCAGATCCAAGTATTACCCGGGCCTCCGCCGCAGCCACGCATCAGCCCCTGGGCATAGCCCACTGGGAGGGCATAGCTCCACTCAACCCCTCGAGGGCTAGTGTCCAGCTCTCTGGCCTTGAGTCCAAGGCCCTTCAAGGTCTGGCCCCTGCCTTCTTGCCAGCCTCACCCCCTCACTCCAGCAGGCGCTGTGAAGCCCACATTCTAGCCACTGTGCCTCCTCTCTGCTTCCTGGACACAGCCTCCTCTTTGGAGCTCTGCGTCTTTGCCTGGTCTGTTCCCTCTGCCTAAATGCCGTGCCTTGCCACCTCTTCCCCGATGAACTTCGAATGCACGCTTTGATTCACTTGGCACCCCTTCTGGGAAGGCCCGGAGCCCCTCCCGAGGAGAGCCCTCCGCCCTGTGCCCGGTGTCCTCAGGTCCCCACCCCAGAGCTCTCCCGGCACTGGGGAGTTGGTGCACAGGGCTTCCTGGGGCTGCGGGGCTGCCTGGGAGGGGCCACTCCTCTCACGGGCTCTGCTGTCGTGGTACCCAGGACCAGGTACACCTACACTATTCGCTGACAGACCTCAGCTTCTGTCCTAACCAGACACTCGAGGCTGAAACGAGGGAGGTGGCATGAAACACAAGCCGGCACTGTCACAAGACCCTCTGGAGCCTGGGAAAGCCTGTCGCAGCTGGACACTTGGCGGAGGCTGCACACAGGCCCCTGCCAGGCCCTGACGAGGGTGTGAGGGTGTGAGGGGCCGTGTGGCTGCCTCTGTGGTCCCCAGCGCCTTCTCCGTCATGGGCTGCCACTTACTTCCTGGGCTATAGGCGTTGACTTGCCAGTCCCAATGCCTGCCTGGCTGGCCTCTGCCTCCAGTGGTCGAGGCTCATGGGCACCCAGCAGACCCCCTCGAGCCCAAAGACAACTACTCTCCCTCCAGGCCACAGCCACCCCCGGACCCCCACACCCACCTGAGGCCTCTTCCGTCTTCATCTCAACTTCGAACTCCGCTGTGATGTGAGATACTTCCTTGGACGGGGACTTGCGGCCACGGCGCCTCTTCTTGGAGGAGTCACACTTGAGGGTCACGAAAGTCACGTGGCAGTTGTCTGGGAAGGAAGGGACCACCGTGGCAGGCAGCACGGGGCAGGGAGCAGGTACCTGCTCTGCACACAGGTACTGTGAGGGGTGGAGCAGATGGGGAAACAGGCTGGAGGGCCGGGGCTGGCTCGGGACCCCACTGGTGGCGGGGCCAGCAGTGGTGTTCGGCCCTTCTGTGCCAGTCACGCTGCGGCAGAGGTCCCTCGTACATCTGTAACACGGCTGAGCCCTCAGCTCCGGCCTGCTGCGGAGACTTGGCCCAGGCTAAGCCGAGAGCTCAGAGCTCTGTCAGGTTGGAGAAGGAAGCTTGCGGAAATAGGTGGAAGGTCTTCCTTCTGGGCCTCCTCTCCAAGCTTGCCTTCTGCTACTCTCCCAGCCTGAAACGTCCCTCCTGGCCGCCCTCGTTCAAGAAAGAGCCACCGAGGAGCCGCAGTGTCTTCCATCAGGGCACAACCAGGCTGAGAAGGCCCCTGCTCTGGGGTCCCATTTAATCAAGGGTAGGGCTGGGACAATGGCCCCAGGGACACTGAGGGTCCCAGGTTTTCCACCCAGATGCTGGCCTTCCCAAGTCCCCACCACTATCTACAGCAACCCAGGTATCGCTCTGGGACTAAGGGGCCAGGGATTGAGGGGGCAGAGAGGCCTCACCTCGGGCAGCCACGTGTCCTGACCCAGCCCCAGGGGGTTGCTCCCATGGCCCTGTGGTGTGCGCAGGCCCAAGCGGCCACTCACCCAGTAGCAGCTGCCTCAGGCTCTCCTTTGCCCGCTCCCGGCTTCGGGGCCGGAGGTGGCACTTGGCATCTCGGATCTTGAAGCGGGCCTTCTGCTTGATGGGGGTGGCAGGGGCATCTGGGGAAAGCCAAAATTCCCCCACGTGGTGGCCTCTCCTGCGGGCAAGGAGGTGGTGGGGGACGGGGGCTACCAGGGGACAAACCCACCCGGAGCTGGGGTGGGCTTGGTCAGGGTTCTCTGCCCCGATAGCCCTCCAGGATTGGGGAACTCCCCTGCCCGGTTTCTGTCCCTGCAAAGCCCGAAGATGGTGAGTGTGCGGACGTGGGGCCAAGCCCAGGGCCATGCAGCCGGAGGTCTGTGGAGGGGAGAGGAGTATCGCCCACCTCCTCACAAAGGCAGGGGACATGGCTGGGGCTTTGGAAAGGGCATGAGGACAGAGAGCGGGAAGCAAGGGCAGGAGGGGTCTGGAGTGCCCAGACACTCAGGCTGCAGAGTCCTCGAAGGGCCAGTCAGAGCCCCCGGTCACTGCTGCTTGGAATCATGAGTGTGGTCGAGAGACGCGGGGTCACTGTGGTGACTCCACACCCCAACAAGAACTGCTGCGGGACAGCTCGCTCCCAAGCTGGACTGGAGGTGGGATGGGGGACAAAGCACCCGGGCTGCACTGACCCGCCCGGCTGTCGATCCTAGGGGCCCCGAGGGCCGCGCCTGGGCATTCTGGGCACAGTGCTCAGGCAGCTCTGACCCGGGAGCTCTGGGAGCCCAAGCACTGCAGCAGAGGCACCCCTCTGCCCAAACCGTCTAAGGCCCTGTGGCCTCACAGCCCGTTAGAGCCACTGACCCACTCTGGCACTGGGGCCCTCAGAGCAGAAAGGGCCCTCTCACGGCCCACTGCTCCTGGGCCGGGGCTCAGCCAAAGTCTGCTGGCACCCACGGCCTGGCCCTGCCTCAGCTCCGATGGCTAGGTCCTGCTGGGAGGGTGCAGACCAGGGAGCTCTTCCCTGGCATGGCGCTGGACATGCAGTCAAGGGGTCATGCGATGCATGTGGCAAGGACAAGCCGGGGGCTACCTGAACAGCCGGGCCCGCTGCTGGAGCTGGTGCCGTTGCGTCTCTGCAGTGTCTTGCCCTGGAGACCGGGGACACCACAGCTCAGGATGTAGCTGTTTTCCGAGTCTGTGGAGAGGCCATTGGTGAGGCGGGCATGGGTGCACCTCCCATCCACAGCCCCTAGGCCCCTCTTGGGCCTCAGAAGGTGCTAAGTGAGGTGAGGGCCAGGATTGAACCTATGCCATTCACTTTTTTTTTTTTTTGGAGAGGTTTTCGTTATAGGGAGTGCTCGCCAGCCAGCCAGAGACAGAGAGACAGAAAGCGAGAAATCACCCCCCAGGGGGGATGGCCACGCCGCAATCCCTTCTCCTCCATTCTCCTCTTGGGATCCTGGGCACACACGCACACGTACCAGGTGTGAGTTTTAAGCCACCGGGTCCGGGACTTGAACCATGATTGACCACATGGGAGTCCAGTGACATAGCCATTATGCTAACTGCTGGTCCCTATGCCATTCACTTCTGCTGTGTGGGTACAGGAGAGTGGCCAGGTAGGAAAGGGCCCACTGTGGATGGAAGTCCACAGAGAGCTCGCTAACCAGGGCCCCTTGTTCTAAGCCAGGCTCTCCTGGAGAACAGCAGGAAGCAAGGGCTGGGCCCCAGCGCCTCCCTGCTCCCTTACCACCCACCTAGCCTCACCCCGCAACACCTCCCAGTAACAGCAGGGAGTTACCAGGCACGAAGAGTGTGTGGGCCGGACAGGAGAGGAGGCAGCTCTCGACACCGCCCGCCTTGCCGCAGGACAGCTGCACTCGGGCTGAAGCCTTGGCTCGAGCAAGGCACCTGCCCACCTCTGAAGGGAAGGGAGAGAGAGCGAGGACTCAAGAGAGGCCAAGGCAGAGGTTTCCTGTGGCTGGCAGGGCCCCGGGCACGGGCAGGGACTCCCCCCACGGCGGGACTGTGCGGAAAGGAAGTGGAGACGGGGTGCAGGTGCAGGTAGCCCACGGGGGTCCCTGGGAGCTGGCTTCTCCCAGCCGCCCCTTAGACTCTGAGCCCAGCTCTGTTGGAGGGCTTGTGCCCTGTCCCTGAGGAGTGTGAGGGAGCGGGAGCGTGATTCGTCTCGGCTTCCTGCAGTGACTTCCCAACACTCCTCCTTCCCAAGTCCCAGCTCAGCTGACCCTCTGCGGCCATTATCGGAAAACCCTTTTGCAGTCGGTGACAAAGGCCCTGCATGGAAGGCAGGGAGGGATCTATTCATAAAGCACACTTGCCAGGGTTATTTTCAGAAGTCCTAGAAAATTCTCTCACGTATGATTCAAATTAGATGTGATTTAAAAAGAAGTCCTCGAGGCAAAAGCACGTCAGCAGAACGCCTGGCCAGAGCCCAGCGAGGGTCCAGACGGGTCTTCCCGGCCTGCCGTTAACTTAATTTGGTACGCGCACACCAAGGCTCGGCCCTGCTCTCGGGGCGTGGACTGGGCAGCACGGCGGGCAGCCACAGCCCTCGCCTCCTCGCTCCCTGCCACGGAGCCATAGCAGCCTTGCTCAGGCTGCGGCCACGCACTGCTTGGTGGTAGGGATAAGTTCTGAGCAATACGTCGTGAAGCGGTTTCACAGCAGAGTGTGCCTACACCAACCTCACGGGCTGCCCACCAACCCCGTGTCACAGCCTGCCATGTAGCCTCAGACCTGCACAGCACGTGGCCGCACCACACACGGCGCACGCTGGTACAGGCAAGTGTCCGTGGATCTAACCAGGTTGGCAAAAGAGGAAGTGCAGTAAAAATAGGGCCTACAGGATAAGTACGTTGCACCCGCACAGCAGCGGGAACTTGCAGGAACTGGGAGTCGCTCGCTGTGAGGTAGCAATGAGCGGGAGCGAACGGGAAAGCCTAAACGTTACTGTATGCTGCTGCACACTTAGGCTACGCCAAATTTCTACATTTTGTTTCCTTTGTTCAATAATAAATTACCCTTATCGTATATAATTTTCTTACTTTATTTAATTTGCCAGAGGGTGTGTGTACTTGCTAGAGAGAGGCAAAGGGACAGAGAGGGAGACAGAAAAATCACCTCTGGATGGAGTGTCATTATGCCGCAATCCCGTCTCCATTTCTCCATTCTGTCAAGGTTTTGGGCAATATGCGCAGGTGCCCGGTGCATTTTTCAAGCTACTGGGGCTGGGATTTGAACCATAGTTGGCCGTGAGGGATCCAGTTCCCTTAACTACTAGGTTACAGGGCTGACCCCACTTTAAAAATTTAACTATGACTTTTCTGTAATAATACTTGACTTAAAACAAAAATATATTGTACAAAAATTCTTCCTTTCCTCTTTATTTTATACACTTTTTATTAGAATTATTTTTCTACTTAAACATACACATTCTAAGCCTACATGGGGTCAGAATTATGAGTATCACCGTCTTCTTTTGGAGAGTTTGTTTGTTTGTTTTTGCTATAGGGCGCGTGCGCTTGCTAGAAAGATGGAGATAAACAAAGAGACAGAAAGCGAGAAATCACCCTCCAGGGTGGATGGCCACACCGCAATCCCTTCTCCTCCGTTCTCCACTCGGGATCCTGGGCATGCATGCACACACGTCCAGCGTGAGTTTAAGCCACCAGGTCCGGGACTTGAACCACAGTCCACTACACGGGAGTCCAGCGACATAGCCATTACGCTAACTGCTGGTCCCGAGTATTACCATCTTCTACCTTCACATATTTTCCCAGTGTAAAAGCCATAATGAACAAAACACAGATTAAATCAAGCACAAGAAAAAATGCAACTAAGTGATGGAAGTAAGAGGCTGCCTCTGGCATCCACGGCGTGGCGTTCTGCCTTTACCTTTTTGGACATCTATATATGAGGAGGAGAACATTCTAAAACGACAATAAAATATGACAAATACATAAACCAGTAACACAGTGGTTTATTACCTTTTTTTAAAAGGGTTTTTTGCTATAGGGCGTGTGTGCTTGCCAGAAAGACAGAGACAGACAAAAGCGAGAAATCATCCCCCAGAGGGGATGGCCACGTTGAGAACCCTTCTCCTCCATTCTCCTCTCAGGATCGTGAGCATGCATGCACACACACTGGCATGAGTTTAAGCCACTGGGTCCAGGACTCAAACCATGGTCAGATACGTGGGAATCTAGTGACATAACCATTATGCCAACTGCTGGTCCCTATTATCATTATTAAGTATTATGTGATAATCTTTCTTTCTCTCTCTTTCTTTCTCTCTCTCTTCCTTCCTTCCTTCCTTCCTTCCTTCCTTCCTTCCTTCCTTCCTTCCTTTTTTTTTAAGAGAGAGATTTTTTTGCTATAGGACACGTGTGCTTGCCAGAGAGAGAGAGACAGAAATTGAGAAATCACCCCCTACGAGAGGATGGCCACATCATAATCCCTTCTCCTCCATTTTCCTCTTGGGATCTTGGGCACACACACACACGTACCTGGCATGAGTTTTAAGCCACTGGGTCTGGGACCTGAACCATGGTCAACTAAGTGGGGGTCCAGCGACGTAATCATTACGCCACCTGCTGGTTCCGCAATTGTGTTTCTATAACGTCTATGCTATGCGTTCAGCAGAACGACTGGACCAGAGTTCAGTAAGGGTCCAGACTGGGTCTTCCCGGCCTGCCGTCAAGTGCAGCTTGTTAACAGCAGCAAATGTGAGTGACGTGCTGTGCTATGCTGCGGTGCCACCTGATGATAGAGCATCTTCAACTCCATGGCATGACCCATCGGGGCACGTACAACCTGTCGTTGACCCAAATGTTAGGTTGTGCATGAGTGTAATTAAAACATGTTCAGATCTTGTGGTAGAATCGTGTTCAAATCGTAAGTACTACTCGCAGTATGATCCCTACGTAAACTGAAAACACCTAATGCTTTCTCTGCTTGTTGACAAACTAACTACAGTGTCTGGTGACTTTCTCCTCCACCTGTTTACATCGAGCAGTTCTCTTACCTGCTCCTGAACGAGGAGTTCGTGTTTGTGCTCCTGTACTTTAGACGTGTTCATGTCCAGGACAGATCTTCTGGACACTCCATAACAAATCCTGACTCAGTGTTGCTTATTGATGGGACTTACCTTAAACAAGCCGGTTTCAAAATTCATATGAAAATTCAAGGGAAGTTCACAAACAGTCAAATCTTTCGAACACGACATACAAAGACGGAGGACTCGCCCGTACTGATTTAAGAACTTACGATCTACAGCTAGCAATACCCAGACAATGGGGTATCTGCATAAGGAGAGACAGAGATATCAGTGGAGTAGAATTGGCAGTCCAGAAATAAACCACCAAGTTCACACCCAAGTGACTTCAGCAAGGATGCCAAGGGGGAAAAGATGTTCTTTTCAACAAATGATGCTGTGGCAACTAATGGCCACTTGCAAAAGAATAAAGTTGAATCCTGTCTTCTTTCATATAAAAAGTTATCTCAAGGGGCTGGCAGGTGGTATGGTGGATAAGGAGCTGGACTTTCATGTGGCTGACTGCAGTTCAAATCCTGGACCGGGTGGCTTGCTTTCTTGCCTTTTCTCTCTTCTATCCATTTCTCTCTGGTCAGATTAAAAAAAAAATGATAGTAGTAAATAAAAATAAATAAATGATTATTAAAAAAGAATTTTTTCAAAATGCGCTGCTTCTTTCTTTCTTTATATTTTTTTGGAAGGAGAGATTTTTAATTATTATTATTATTTTTGCTATAGGGTGTGTGTGTTCACCAGACAGAGAGAAAGTGAGAAATCACTCCCCAGGGTGGATGGCCATGCTGCAATCCCTTCTCCTCCATTCTCCTCTCGGAATCTTGGGCACACATGCACACATGCCTAGTGTGAATTTAAGCCACCAGGTCCGGGACTTGAACTGTGGCTGACTACATGGGAGTCAAGCGACATAGCCATTATGCCAACTGCTGGTCCCTAAAATGGGCTGGTTTTGGGGGAGGGACAGGGAGGCAAAAGCATTAATGGCACAAAGAGGTGTGGTATTATCTGTTAAAGATATTTCATAGTTTTATCAACAGTACTAGGGAGAAATGTTCACCTGTTTAAATATCCATTTTGTAAGACAAATAATAATGTGATTGAATATATGGAAGAAAATGAAATTAAAAAAAGAAAAAAATTTTAAAAATAAAAAGGTTCTAAAAAAGTTAAATACATTTTTTTACTGCTGTACTTAATATACATAAAATAATGGAACTCAAGCAATTCATTTTTAGTGCTTTACTTTGACATTTCTTCTTAGGTTGACAAAATATTTAAATACAAATAAAATGTTGTAGCAAAAAAAAAAAAAAAAAAAAGGGGCTGATTCCATGAAGCAGGAGTAACACACTACTCAGGAGAAGCTGGATCCCACACGGCAACCTTAGTTTGAATCCCCAGCTCAGGCAGCCTGAACCTGGGGATGTGTGTGGGTTCCCAGCTGGAGGAAGGGGCTCGAGGCATGACCAAACCCCTTTCTTTCATTCGGGGGCATGTGCATGCACTCTATCATGAATAAAGAAAAAAAATGAAATGATCTCAAAATCAATCAAAGACTTAAATATAAGAGCTAACACTATCAAACTCTCCGAAGACAGATGTAAATCTCTGTGACCTAGAATTAGGCCCACGATTATATTTCTATAACCATATATGCTATGCTTTCATACACCTAGTTTCTTAGAAATGACACAGAAAAACACAAGTAACCAAAGAAAAACAAGATAAATTAAATTTCATCAAAATTAAAACATGTGGGACCAGCAGTTAACAGAATGACTATGTCATTGGACTCCCATGGGGTTGGCCACGGTTCAAGTCCTGGACCCAATGGCTTAAAATCACACCGAGTGCGTGTGCATGCATGCCCAAGAATGGAGGAGAAGGGATTGCGGTGTGGCCATTCCCCCGTGGGGGTGATTTCTCACTTTCTATCTCTCTGTCTTTCTGGTGAGCGCATGCACCCTATAGGAAAAACCTCTCAAAAAAAAAAAAAAATTAAAACTTGTGTAATTCATATTGAGGTTCCACAAAGACCCAGCAATTCCACTCCTAGGTATCTACCCAAAAGACAGGAGAATGCTCAGTCAGAAAAGTGCTTGCACATCTATGTTTATTGTGGCATTATTCATGATTGTTAAGTCATGGAACCAACTCAAATGTCCAAGAACAGATGAATAGATTGAAAAAGTGTGGCACATATACTCCAAAGAATACTATTCAGCCATAAAAAGCAAGACCTTGGCATTTGATAGAAAGTGGACAAATATGGAAGATTTATTGCTGAGTGAAGCAAGTCAGGCTATGAAAGAGAAACATTGTATGTCTCCACTTAACACATATTGACTGTCCACCCTTTATGGTAGAGACTGAAAGATTGGAGGGCATAAAAGCATTGACAATAGTAATGGACACTGGAGACTGTGGAAGGAGGGTGGGAGGGGGAATAGTATAGGGAAGGAAATTAGGGAGAAAAATAGAGAAGTAAGCCATTTGTGGGACACAAAAATGGTTTTTTACCTGTTGATGATAATGTGTATAGTATTCTCAACTGGATTGGTCTGAGATGTGTTTCATGTTGGGTAAATTCTCTGTACTGGCTAAATGATGTAGAGTTATTGAATGTATAGAATGATAATAATTTTAAAAATTTTAAATAAAATAAAAGATGATTTATGTTGCTGCCAAAAAAAGAAAAAAGTTTTCTATAAATTCGAGAAGACATTGCTAAATATGATTATGATAAAGCATTAGTATATCTCTTTCAGAAGCAGATACACTGAACAGGTCATATACATGTTAACAATATACCATAATGATATGTTATTCACTATATATAACATATACAAAAAAACAAAAAAGACCAAAACACAACAAAAAACACTGTGTAATTCAAAGGACACCATCAAGAAAGTGAAAAGACAGCTCACAGGGGACCAGCAGATGGTGTAATGGCTAAGTCTCTGGATTCTCACTTAGGTGACTGTGGTTCGAGTCCTACACCCAGTGGCTTAAAACTCATGTTGGCACATGTGCATGTGTGCTCCAAATCCCAAGAGAAGAATGTAGGAGAAGGGACTGCAGCATGGCCATCCCCCTGGAAGGTGGTTTCTCGCTTTCTGTCTCTCTGTCTGTCTCTCGGGCAAGCACACATGTCCTATAGCAAAAATCTCTCTTCTAAAGAGAGACAGCTCACAGAATGGGAGAAAATCTTTGCAAATCATGTATCTAAGAAGGGACTTGCATGTAAAACATATAAAGAAACCTTACAATTGAATAACAGATGAACAGCCAAATTTAAAAAATAGGGCAAAGGATCTGAACATACAATTCTCCAAATAACATACACAAATCTCCGATAAGCACATGAAAAGATATTTACCACCACTGGCCATCAGGGAAACAGAAATCAAAACCACAAAGAGAAAGCGCTTTGCACCCACTAGATGGCTACAGTCCGGACGGCTGTAATCACAAGTGCTGGTGAGGGTGTGGGGAAAGCCGGAACCCTCGCATATTGTTGGTGGGAATGTAAAAACGGCACGGTCACTTGGGAAAACAGTCTGGCAGTTTCTTAAAAGTTAAAAGTGGAGTTACCACACGACATAGCAATTCCAACCCAAGAGAATTGAAAACATATGTATGCACAGAAACTATACATAAATGTTCACAGCATTATTATCATTATATTTAGTTATAGGGTATTTTGCTATAGGGTATGTGCACTTGCCAGAGACAGAGAGACAGACAGAGAGAGAGAGAGAGAGGAGAGGGAAAGTGAGAAATCATCTCAAGGGGGGATGGCCATGCCTCAACCCTTCCTCCTTTCCTCTCCTCTCCTTTCAGGATTTTGGGCACACATGCACACGCATGTGGCATGATTCTCAAGCGACTGGGTCAGGGACTTGAACTGTGAAGTTGGCCATGTGGGATGCAGTGCATTAACGTCCACGCCACCTGCTTGCTCTTATTCTTATTTATGTTTGTGATAGGGCAGGTGTGCTCATGGGAGAGAGAAAAGAGAGTAAGGAAAAGCGGGCAAGTGCCTCTCTAGCCCTGCAAGGATGGCTATACCACATCCTGCCTTCTCCTTTCTCCTCTTGGGACTCTGGGCACATGAGCACAAGTGCCCATCATATTTTCCTTCCCTCCTTTTTCTTTCTCTCCCCCCCCTTTAATATATAAACCAGTAACATAGTGGTTTATTATCATTATTAAGTACTATGTGATCATGGGGCCAGCGGGCAGCATGGTGGTTAAGGCGCTGGACACTCCTACATGGCTGACCACAGTCCAAGTCTTGGTGGACTGCTTTCTCACTTTCTCCTCTCTCTCTCTCTCTGATCAAATTAAAAATAAATGGAATGAATAAAATTAAATAAAGAAATTCTTTAAAAAAGTATTATGCGATCATATTTTTTTAAAGAGAGATTTTTGCTATAGGGCATGTGCACTTGACAGAGAGACAGAGAGAGACAGAGAGAAAGAAAGTGAAAAATCACCCCCTGGGGGCATGGCCACGCTACAGTCTCTTTTCCTCCAGTCTCCTCTTGGGATTTGGGGCACACATGCACACATGCCTGGCATGAGTTTTAAGCTGCTGGGACTGGGACTCAAACTGCAGTTGGCCACATGGGAGTCTAACAATGTAACCATTACGCCATTTGCTGGTACCAGCCCGTCATGTTTTTTAAGCTGCTGGGTCTGAGACTGAACTGCACAGTCGGCCATGTGGGATCCAGCTGCCTCAATAGGATAGCGATACCAGGAGACCTCAAAATGTTTGTAGAAAAACAGAAATAAAATACGAGTTTATTTTGGTACAAAAAAAGTTGAAATCCATGCGTGTTTTTTTTCATAACAACACTTGCAGGGGCTGAAGTATTAGACTTCATGTTCTTCATCTAGAATAGTCCAACTTATTTATTATATAATACGCAGATACACTTTACTAGGAGAGTTATTTATGGATCACTCAGAAATTTTACTTGCCTTTACTGCTCTCATTCTTTGGGAAAAGTAGGAATACGTGTTTCAGAATGGTGACGTTACCTCTTAGGTTACAACCTGAGGTTCTCAAAGAACTTCCAAAGTCAGACAGTTCACGGCTGTCAGAAGACTGCACGAAGTGGACAGCTTCTGCAAGGCTGCTGGACCAGTCAGTCCTCCTGGGCCTGGCACCCTCCGATCCAGACCCCCGCTATACCTTCATTCTGTAGTGCTTTGCTTGCGTTTCCCCACCTATGGGTTTAGGTTAGACACGTTGGACTTAACCTAGCATTCTTCCCTCACAAATAATAACTCGCCTCAGCCCAGGTAGACGAGGAATAACCACGACCCTAATCGCTAATTCAGCACTTCCAAGCTATCACTTTTGCAGCCAGTTTGAAAAATGATCGACGGTGGCACTTTGCACAGACAATACATAAGACAGCAGCGCATGCCCCGCACAGGGACAGGCGGGTTCCCGTAGTCTGGCTGCTGCTCACACCACCCTATAGACAGCACACTTACAGCCTCAGTCACACCTCTACCGTGGAAGCCCGCCTCATCGGTGCCAACCCAGGATCATGGCCAGCTGCCCTGTGGGACTGTGAGGAGGTCTCGATGCCCTCAGATCTGAAATGCAGCGCCCTTCCCGGGGAAGGAGTGACCGGGGACGGTGCTGAGGGGGGCTGGCCAGTCCGCAGGAGCTGCATAACTCCAAGTGCCCCTCTGCCTGTCACGGGGGTGGTCCCAGTGTGCCAGCCGGACTCGCTAGTCAAGGCACCATGGACAACAGCATAGGCTGGGGTTGCCCCTTGGCTGGTCGTGGCTCCATGGCACTGCCAGACCCTCACCTGGAAGCCGGGAGCTGGGCACAGCAGAGGTGAGGTGGAGCAGTCTCCACCGGGCTACGAGAACGTCCAAGGCTTTCCTAAGAGGGAGCTGTCGGGGCTTGACTTCTGGGTCAGGCCTGTCCCCGAGAGGCTTTCGGTACCTCCTGGAGTGACACTGTCAGCTGAACCAGGTCACCTCAGGCAGCCCGTGTACTGCCCAGAACACACAACGCCTTTCTGCAGCCGTGGGCCCGTGTGTGACGAACGCACCGCCTGATGCCCTGACCAGACCTCCACAAACGGCTCTTTGTGAAGAGTTAGTGACAGTGGCGAAGCCTGGACAAGCCCCGGTGGCCTCTGTTGTAGCTCCAATGGAGGGTGGGGAGAGCAAAAGGGGGGCTGAGAAAAAAAAAAGCAGGCCAGACACTCCTGCCTCCCTCCATCGGGGAAGACTCAGCCCTCAGCGGGAAAGACTCAGCCCTGCGGCCCTGGGCGCGAGCCCAGGCGCTCGCTGCTGCCCCTCGATCAGTGGGCCCTGCCTCTGGAGGAGCTTGACTGCCTGCTGGCTGGGGCAGACGCGCTGCCGTGGACACCGCCTGGTGCTGCCTCTGCAACCACCTCGCCCCAAGCCAGTTCCGTCCCCGGACGCGGACCAGCAGTCTGCTTTGCTGGGGGAGCCCCTGCCTGAACGCTGTGGCAGCCCGCTTCAGCGAGCAGCACGTTCAGCTATTGGATCTCACACATTACGACGCGCTCCGTCCCTCCGCATGTTCCTCCATTAGACATTATTCACTTACCGAGGAGACAGCAGGGGATAGGACGGGCCAGACATGCCTGTTCAACTGTGCACAGCTGTCCACGTGAGGACAGACGGACAGTCACAAACCAACCCGCGCCTGCAGAATCTACACGGTGTCTGGTGGCTCGAAGTGCAAAGGAAAGGGAAGTGGGGAAGCAAGGGGGGCCACGCAGGGCTGCAGAGGTGGGTGGGGTGGGGCTCACGGCGCAGACACTCCAGAAGGGCAGGGGCAAGGGTGGAAGTGACTGGCCAGTGGCAGTACCCAACTGTGGCTTGATTCCGAGGGAAGAGAGGTGCTCAGAGCAGAGAATGTTCTGACTTAGACTGAAAAGGCTCCCTCCCGCTGGCCCGGGGGGCGGCGGGG